ATTATTATTACTATGGTACACACATACACTGAAATCTCTTGACCTCACATTATGTAATTGCAAGGCCTATCTGCAACTCGTGGCACACTGGCATCTGGCAATTCGGAAAGTTATTTGCACTTTATTGAAATACATATATATTTGACAAAGAACGTATTGAACTATAAATTAAATGAGTTACGCTTACCGTTTAGGGAAATTCCTTTAAGTTACGCCCAATTAGTACCGTATGATATACTGCCTCATATTGCATCAACAATTTTTATAAATGGGCTACATACATTATAAAAACGAACATAATAAAGTTGAACAAAACTGATTTCAGAAAACATATTCATATTATAGACTTGCAGATAACCTGAACGACAGAAGATCACGGGTTCTTTTTATACGTACTTTTATAATCAAATTGATATAAACAACACTCAACATCGGCGAGCACCGAACCCACATCTCTATCAATGAATCATTTGCAAATCCTAAACTATGTCTAGTCACATCTAATCTTAAAAAAAAAATTTAATTGCAATTCTTAAGAATATGATAATGTGATCTATATTTTCTATTAAAATGGAAAGAGTTCAGCAAAATTTGACGCCGGTTTAACAAAATTCAAAATTCTATTAGATTAGCGTTAAAGTAAATGGCAAATTTTAAGCCTCTAGCTCCAAGGACGTACGAGATAAGTATATATAAAAAATGTATATCTCCGTTTTGATAAGATTTCTAAACAACATTATTCATTCTTGAAAATTTTCGTAATCATAATCATAATCGCTTTTCGCAAATTGCAAAATATTGATAAAGTTAAGGGATCTGACTCAATAGAAAAAGCATTTTATGATTGGTTCTGCATTAGTCATGTATGTGTGTTGATGACATTGCTACGTGTTGAAGTCGCTGACGGTGTGTCACATCCGAGATTTATGTATGCATATCGCTCATACAGTGGTTGACGAACGCCTCGGAGGACGAGCATTTTGCATAACAACCAAAACCTTTATTGTATGCAAAATTCAGCCGTGTAAAACAACAAAATAGGTGTATTTTTGTCACTATTTTCAAGAAACTGGAACGAAGTGATTTTTTTGACAGAGGGTCCACTGTAGTAGCTTTTCTTGAAATAGTGCGTATATTACGCAACTATTCTTGAAATTGGATTAGTGATCTTGAAAAAAAAAAAAAAACAGTTAATTTTATTGTACAGCCATAAAACTCTGTTCAACTTGTTGGTTCTGAAATCGACGATACACTCTTTCTACTCTCGTCGCCCTGATTAAGAAGACTTTACTTTGCAAAGACCAAAGAGAGAGATAGAGTGAGAGAGAGTAGGACATATAGTGCATAGCCGTGCTTCATATAAGAATGAGACCATTACTATTGACCGCTTGCAGCGCACTGACTTTGTTGCGCAATATTTTCCTTGCTCTAGCCTCAAGAGACTGAGCCGAGCAAATACGAAGTTGACTAGTATCTAATGCACATTTTTTCTTTGGTCAGTGCCTGTATATTTTAACAGCACCATTCTAGCCGGATCGCCCATTCTCAAAATACTAACACTGAAAAATAAAGGGTTTTTTTTTATTGTCATAGACTAATTTTCCGAATTCAAGCATTAATAAAATCTAAATTGGTGGTTATCTTCTCAATATAAGCTTTGTGACCTCCTGTTAGACACGGCGACTGTAAAGGGAACGAATAAACTTGCCATGAGGGAGTCGTAGGCGTTGGGCGGGTACATTGTAATCAGGATAATTGTTCTGCTCCAAGTGTGCTGGGGGCAATTGGCCATCATTACAGTTCACCAATTCTCCACTAGGATCCATGCATTTCTCTGTCTTCAGAACCCAGCCGCTGTCTCTGTCTCTATCTTCAATATCCTGATCATCGTGTTCCCAATCCTGCTCCTGCTGCGGATATGTGTATTGATCTTCTTCGTCAGGTTGTGGTTCACGCTGTGGCTGATAGTTGTAGTCAAAATTGGGACCGAAATAGTGTGGGTAGATCACAGGCTGTGGCATCAGCACAGGCTGTGGCATATAGCTTGGAAAGCAACCCATGCACTCTAGTGGAATGCCACTCTGCAGGACATAGCCATAGGCCAGATTCTGACATTTCAGACAGTTGTCGAGTCTCGGTCGCGCACTGTTCATATTCTGACCACAGGAGTTTGTGTAGTAACATCCTTGGGATTGTGTTTGTGGCTGGTTGTTGGGCGAAAATGGGAAACTGGTGCGTTTTATCGACTTGCGCCGCTGCATGGGCACATACTGCACCGTCTCGTGGCATTCATCTGGCTGGTCCTGCTCGCATTGCAGCACGCGTTTGGCATGCATCACTCGCGCACGGCACCGTGCGCCACAGACGCGATGTCGTGAGCGCTCCTGGCAGTGCTCCAGGTGCTCACAACTGCGGTCACGTTGCACCACATAGCAGCAGGAGCCCTGCTCATTGTAACCAAGACCGAACCGGCCGCCCACCGTGGACACATTCTGATGCACCTGGACATTTATCTCATTCCGACCCTTGATATCGTTCTTGATAATGTTGGTGATCTCATTCGTTAGCTTGACTATGTTGGTGGTATTCAGCGGGGGCTCTGCAGGTGCCACGTAGCTGGTATCATTGATGCCGTGTACTAGGAGTGGCTCTTCCGTCAGCTCCGGGCAGAGGGGGCACTCTAGCTCGCACTTTTCACTGCCAGCGCAGATATCCAAGCAGCTCTGCCGATTCGATTGACACTCCTGGTAGTCGCGCAGCGAGGGCTTCTCATAGTTTTGAAGCTTCGTTTGTATCACAATCGTGTCCTTGACGGTTGATGGTTCCTTTGCGTCCTCGCCACTAACCACGCCGCCAACAGCCAGCAACAGCAGCAGAGCCCATGACTAATAAATTAATATCAATTATATGAGATACGGATTGCACCTATCAAATTTAGTTCAAAAATTTCTTCAGCTTTTGCAGCTCACCTTCATTTTCAGGAATGATTCGAAAAGTCTAAGTATGAATATGTCAAAGAGAACTTCCTTTCCTGGTTCGTTTAACAGCTGAGAACTCACTTACTTTACTGTAGAATTGTCTCGCTATGCAGTCACTATTAACCAAGTTTAGATTAGATATCGTTATCTTTCAAAATTTATTGATTTGAGCGTCACGGTAAACGAGAGAGAGAGAGAGAGAGAACGCGGGAGATAGAGAGAGAGCGTCTTTTTCGGCAGCTCCCATACATTCAGTATTAATATTCCTGCAACAAAACATCTTGTACATACACATACTTATAAATATTTTAATTAAACAAACTCTGACCGATTCATTGCATTTACTTAATAGCTATAATCCCTAATATCAGTGAGTAGATTGATGGTGGTATGATATGCTTTTCTCATTTTGTATTAAAGGTGAGCATTCAATTTGTGGATCGTATTTAAGAGACGATCTAATTCAGTGAGCTAAAATTCGACTGTGGACTTTCGTCCTAGAAAACGTATTTATGATACCCTCGTTCAGTAGTTTTTGGCAATTAAAAAAAAATTGTTTTGAATATATTATTATAATATATAATATAGTATTATTTCTTACATTTTCGAAAATATTCTATAGTCTATACTCATACTTTTAATGCTCCAGTAGTTTTGGGGTATATTCAACACTAAGAAACAAACAAGAAGATTTTTCCTCTTTATATAATAGTTTTTATATAAACCCGACAAGCGTTGCTTTGCCTCCAGCGAATGCTTATGGGCCATGGTGCATTCATCCCAGATAATAATTTTACACTGTTTAAGCACAGTGGCCATGGATGATTGTGTTTTAATGTTACAAACTGCATCTGGATCTGGTTAACGTGGCCTTTGATTTTGAATGTGGAATTAAATTGTTGACCATTTGCAGAAGTATTTTCAATTACTTCCGTTGCTCCAAACGATCTCGTTTGAAAACATGAATTGAATTATTTAATCAAAATCAAGTAGAAAAACTGTTTGGTGATAAACAGTGACGTAATATTGTATTCGATGGCTCATTATTTGGCTTACCTTTACACGTATATTTGTTAATCACGTTTACGTATTAACAAAATGTGCATGAATAATTGTTTAACATGAGAGCATGACCGAAAGCTGACACTGTTATCAGGCCTTCTGAGTAAATTCTCAATGGCAATGCAAAGATACTCAATAGCAATTAATGCTTCATTGTACATTGAATAATATCGTAATTTCGTTGCGTTAAAAAAAAAAAAAAAAAAAAAAAAAAAAAACAAGTAAGAAAGCTCTAGTCGAGACGGCCCGACTACGAGATCCCCTGAACCCTTCGAGCAACTGATATTTCAATAATTATTCGCATATGCACAAATACACGCACACACACAGACATACGTACGCATGCATAAACACGCATTGGCTGCAGTGTTGGCTTACTATGGGAATTTAATTGATTTCCCATTTTCAATGGCTTCAGGGTATAAATTTGGAGAGTCTAGCTTTAAAGATGTAGCAGATATAAATTTATTACTGGTTTTCGATGTTTTTAATTGATAACAAAATAACGGGGAAATCAATCGATATTGAAAGCAAAACTCAAGTCTCTAGCTATTATATCTTCTGAGATCGACGCGTTCAAACATACGGACAGACGGACGGACGGACAGAGGGACAGGGCTAAATCGACTGAGCTTTATGGGGTATGCCACGCCTCCTTCTGCCTGTTACATACATTTAACAAAACTGGGTTCAGGGTATAAAAACAAAAACTGATGGTGGGCCGCCTTTTAAACTTAGGGCCATGAAAAATAGATGTTGGCCGATTCTCAGACCTACCCGACCTGCATATAAAATTTCGTGAGTATCGGTCGAACCATTTCGGAGGAGTTTGGCAACAAATACCATGACACGAGAATTTTATATATAAGATAGATAGATATAGTATAGATATATGTAAGTATTTTGAATATATTGTGCTTTCTGCCTACTTGCCTCATTCCTTTCTGCATGCCTTCTTACTTATGTGTGTATTTTTTGTATTTTATTGAAATTTTAAAGAATTATACATAAATATGTGTACATATATATGTATACAATTGAAACAAAGTATACAACATTCGATTAAGTTGGAATGCAACAAAAAGATAAATATGTTGCAATCAATCTAATTAACGACGCCATCCATGATCCGGACTGCAGCCCACGGATCCGGCGAATTGTGGAGAATCGCAGAACTCCTGCTGATCGTAGTAGGCGCACGTGGGACTACGGCAGTGATAGTTGTAGCAGTACGACGAGCAGAATGTCATGTGGCCCGACGCGCAGCCGCTACAGTCATAACGATCTTGTTGGAATAGAATACATCAATGAAAATCGTTCAGGTTTATCTTTAAGTGATCCAAGATACTAAGATCAATATTATTAAGATCAATTAATATTATTTCATATGAGATATCTAAATCACAGATTAGTATTAGATATTTGAATATTGGATATGAATCGAGTATACAAACAATGAATCAATGTGATGTTTGATCTTTGATAAATCAAGATTGACTTTGAAAATTTTCTGAGTAAATTTCTATTACCAGTTAAAATTATTGACTTAAGATCTAGAAATCAGCTCCACTTACTTGATGTTCGTGGACAGTTGCCCTGCATCTGGCAATCGGAGTTCCAGTTGGGCGGCATGGTGAGCATTTGGTAATTGTTCTCGTTCCAGCTGCTAATCCTGGCTGGCTTTAAAGCCATTTTTGGGGCGCTGCATACGTCGCCACACACTTGCTGTTTGGGATTGAAGCACTGCCAGCGATTGCTCTGCGATGAGCTTCGACAAGTGCGTGGTGCAAGAACCGTACAGCATTTGGGTGGTGGCCTAGATGTGGGTAGAACAATCGGCGGTAAGATCTCCTTCTCTTCAGATTCCTCTACATAATCCCTATAGTCCGTAGGCAGAGTCAGCGAAGCGTTGACTGCCAGATGCTGCACATTGTTGAGCACAATGTCGGGCGTGCTCTTGGATTCCTGGATGATTGTTCGCTCGAGGTGAATAGGTGCCACTTCCACGGGCTGTGGATAAACGCATTTCAGACCCGACCAATAGGTACCCTTAGGGCATCGCGGCTCTACACAATGAACATCGTTATAGACTCCCTTACCACAATGAACCAAGTGGCATGTATCGTTGATGAGCACTGTGCCCTTTGGACATTGGCGCAATGGAGCAGGAGGCGGCTGGGTGGTTGGTCTTTTGGTTGTCGTCGTTGTTGTTGTAGTTGTCGTTGTTGTCGTTGTTGTTGTAGGTGCAGGAGGATAGGGTGTAATAGGTTGAGCCGGTGTGGGAGCAGGTTGAGGTTGCACTGGAACGATGGGATAGGGTGCCACAGGTTGATTCGGACAAGGGAGAGGTTGAGTTTGTACTGGAACGCTCGGAGAGGGTGCCACAGGCTGATTCGGACAAGGGAGAAGTTGAGGTTGAGTTTGAGGTTGAGGTTGAGTTGGAACGATTGGGTAGGATGCCACAGGTTGATTTGGACATGGTAGAGGTTGAGATTGTACTGGAACAGTCGGAGAGGGTGCCACCGGTTGATTCGGACAAGGGAGAGGTTGAGTTTGTACTGGAACGCTCGGAGAGGGTGCCACAGGTTGATTCGGACAAGGGAGAGGTTGAGTTTGTACTGGAACGCTCGGAGAGGGTGCCACAGGCTGATTCGGACAAGGGAGAAGTTGAGGTTGAGTTTGAGGTTGAGGTTGAGTTGGAACGATTGGGTAGGATGCCACAGGTTGATTTGGACATGGTAGAGGTTGAGATTGTACTGGAACAGTCGGAGAGGGTGCCACCGGTTGATTCGGACAAGGGAGAGGTTGAGATTGTACTGGAACGGTCGGAGAGGGTGCCACCGGTTGATTCGGACACGGAAGATGCTGAGCAGGAACACTTGGCTGAGTTGAGCTTGGTGTTGGACAGGGTGCTACAGGCTGATTAGGACAAAGTGCAGGTAAAGATTGCACAGGTGTAGAGGGAAGAGCCGCTTGAGTCGAGCATGGTGAAGTTGTCATCGCATAAATATTGATTAAAGGGCCTATAAATATGAATTTAGCACAAATAATCGCTTAGACTCGTACATTTAATGTAATTTCACTCACTCGAGGCAACCGTTGGGAGCACACAAGCCCCATTTTGAAGCACGTAGGGCGTAGTACACGAAACGGCGACGGAGCTCTGTAGATATTGAGCAGCGGTAGGATCAAGAGCCAACAGCAGGCAAGGAAAAATCAGCACTTGATAGGCGAACATGCCGATTAGAAATGAGCTGTGAATAGAAAACGGTGCTTGAAGTAAACGTCGCAACTAGCACATCATCAGATTAAAATAGAACAAGTAAGAAGGCTCCAGTCGAGACTGCTCGACTAGGAGATACCCTGAACCCTCTAAGCTGATATTATAATCATTCTGCACTTCTTTTATGCACACATGCATACACACGTATGTATAAGCTCGCGCTATGCTAACTGCTAACTGCGCAGGGCTGCGCTGCAGTGAGGGCAATATTATGATAATTTATTAGTTAAATAATTTTTCTTTTAGTAACACTATCTTTATGCAACTTTTAGAGCATGATCATATGGTTGAATCTGTGTACATTCCAAAGCACAAGTCTCTAGTACTTGAAATACGTTTTTTACAAATTGTGGGCGAAGGGGGCACGGTATCCGAAATCTGTAAGCTACAAAATCTTCGCATCCATTAAATATACATACACATTAAGACTGAAGTGTCCAGGTCTAATAGTATTCAAGTTTGACTGAACAAAAAAAAAAAATTATCAATTATTCTCGACAAGAAAGATATCGAGAGAGTTATCGATAAAATATGATATACTGCGTGTGGTATAAACGAGTATGCATGTAAAATTGCAGCTCTCATACGGACGGACGGAAAGACGGACGGACGGACGGACAGACAGACAGAGCTATATCGACTCAGCCCATCGCCCAGATCAATAATATATATGCTTTATGGGGTCTGCGATGATTCCTTCTGCCGGTTACATACTTTTCACAAAGGCAATATACCCTGATTTCTCATTTTCAATGGGCTCAGGGTATCAAAAAAGGTTATCAGAGCTCAAAACAAAATATGCTTATAACGCCAGCTAAGCATCGGAGAGACTTAAAAGTTGATTAGTTGTCGGTCAAGCCTTGCCACTAAAACATCACGTCAAATTTAAGTTGACTTCAATGTGGACGATTTTGTCAATACTCAGCGTATTATGCGTCGCGCAATGTTATCAAGATGCCAATGGCAAGGTAGTAAATAAAAACATATGAATTAAATATATATTAATTGGATTTTTGTAGTGGATGGAATGCCCCCAAGGCTATTCAGCTATCAATGGCATGTGCTATAGCACGAGTAGGTGTCAGGAAGGTAAGATATATACGCAAATATAAAATACCCACATAATACATACACATATTGATTTGGGTTAGGCTACCGTCTACATACGGATGGCATGTGTCATTTGATAAATCCCGCACCTTGCCCTTATGATACCAAACCAATCATCACCACTCCAAGCCCATATTATCAGATGCCCACAACCTCCACTAGTACCAGCACCACTACCACGACCCCGGCACCAGAGGAAGAACCGATCATCAGCTACGATCCAGTGCCAATTGGAGATCCCGATGAACAAGCTCGATGTCCACCTGGCTCAATTTACTTCAGGGACGAGTGCCGCAAGATACTCTGCACCCGGGGCGAATACTATGATGGTCGCTGCCTGTCGCCCGCCTGTCCAATGGGCACCGTGTGGTGGCGCAAGCAATGCCAAAAGCCTGGTTACATAACAACAGTATTGGAGATCGATAATGTAATAAACAACAAGCACGAGTTTCGCACAGCAACCGAAAATGTGAACAAAGTGGAGTATAAGACCATTAAGCCCTACGATCCCAGTACGGATCAGAGTCATGCATACGTAGAGTCAAAGGTCAATTCTGTTGTCAAAACAACGACACCAGACAGCTTGACTCAGCAGCTATCTGCAAGTTGCTGTACAGTCAATAGTCCACGTATCTGCCGAAAATATGGAGTCAAATGGGTTTGCTTCAATCAAAAGCGAAAGCTCTGCGACCCGAAGGTTTGTACTAGTCCAGTAATCTATCTCAAGCCCCCGGAAATAGTAGAGCTGGACAATCCACGAATGTTGGTGATGCCACCAAATCCCCCAATTTCGAGTTGCATGACTCCCGATTGTCTTGAGAGCGGTAAGTCTATCTGCAAATTATTTTGAAAATTATTTATTTTATGTGGCTTAAAAACACTTTCAGCAATACTGAATTGTTCTGGTTGTGCCCAGGGTTTGCGAGAGTCCTGCTCGACAGGCTGCTACTATTACTTCTGTCCTAGTAATAGGTGCGAGTTCAAGGAATCCGAGGACTTTTGTGCCATATATCCGGGCGAATTTGGCTGTAATAAAAACTACGGCTGCATCTGGAAATGGTGTAAATGAGATAAATCAACAAATATTTACCCATTTTTAGATAACTTTCCCTTAAATGATGATATAATGTTTAAGTAATACAATTTTAATTAAATACTATGAAGCACTGCCATCTACTGCCAATAAGAGAGATAGGAAGATATTATTGGAAAGCAATTAGGTAAGCCGCTTTTAAGTATTATAGAAAGACAGTTTTCCTGCAATGTTGTTGAGATTGCCTGTTGAAAAAATTTGAATTTACGCGCTTATTTATCTGACTCAGCTGTTGTTTTTAATAGTTGCCACCTGATGAAAAATGCGTTCGTTATTCAAATATCGAATAATGTACTAAATATGACAGAGCTCTCAGTTTATCGAACTTGGCAGCACTGTTGTGAAAATCAGCTGATGCCATACTGCCCGTTTCAACAGGGCTTTTGCTGTTTTCGGTTTCAGTCGTTAAAAGAGAGAGCAAGCGTCGATGTTTGATTGCTACGCGCTCGCGTTTGGTGTACAAAGTGTTAAAACACAAAATTTGTTTGTAATTCCAGTAAAAAGTGTGTGAGTGTGTTTGTGCGTGTGCGTGTGCGTATGTAAGAGTGTACGCGCAATACAGAAACAACAAAATAGAAAATAAGTAACGGTCGTTGTTCTCGCTACTTTAGGGAAGGCGGCAAATAGCAAAAGTTCAAACCAAAAGCCGCAGTTGCCGTTGCCGCGTTGCACTGTGCAGCCGCTCCTAACGTTCCCATTGCCGTTTTGTTGGTTCTCGGGGTTTTCATTGTCGTCTTTGTTGTTCTTCGGTGGAGTCAAAAGAGACGTCCCGCACGTCCTTCGGAGGTGCCGACACCAAAAGGTAGTTTTATATTTACATATACATGTATACATGTCTGTTTGTATATGTGACTTGCAGTTTTATTGTGGCATGTTTTATTAGCGTGTTTGCCACGGCAATCATAAAATCAACAACAACGACAAACAATAAACGGATCCAAATTCGCGCCTTCATTGTATAAGCGGATTGTTTATGCCGTCACAACAACAACAACAACAATATCAACATCAACAAATATAAATAGCAATCGCGCAAATATACAACTAAATATCTAATTGCATGTGTGTATGTGTGTATTATGATATAGCGAATGCAGCGAATCGGTTCTCGACTTGCCTTTGTGCTCTTTCACCTCCCTCTCTTTCTCTCTGTCCATCTCTTTCTCCTTCTGCTGCTCACTCGCTTTGCTAGGTGGGGTAGCTAGCTTTCTCGCATACATTCCGCGAGTGTTAATTGAAAAAAACTACAAACTTCCTGTTTTGGGGAAAGGGTTGCATCTAGCCCAGCTCAGCTACCTATCCCCACCACCGCCTAGCCAATCAGCTTGCTCATGCACATATACGCTCGAATATGTATGTGTACATGGGTATAACTGTTGCCGTTGCCGCAGACAACATGAGCTTTATTGCGGCAGCCTAACTCAGCACTGACCCCATCCCCCATTACCAAAGGGCTCTTAGCGAGTGGGTGTGTATATATGTGTATATATGTGTGTGACGTGGAGCCACATAGAAGTTTTGTGCTTTCTGCTCTGTGGGTATTTGTCAGAATGCGGGTGTTGAAGTTTTTAGTGGAACATTTTTTCTATGTTTTGCCTACGTTCTTCTTCTTCTAGCTCCAGCGGGAGCTTTTATATTGTATGTGTGTGCTATTATTAAAATACCACATGCACGCACACACAGAGAGGCAGAGACACGGACACAGCAAAAAGAAAAACTATTTACAGTTGCTGCGACTGTGTGTATATACATATATGCGCCTACGAGGCGTTGGCGTTTCAGCAAGCGAGAGAGTGAGAGAGAGAGGGGGCACACAGGCTAAAGGAGAAGCCGCAAGAGCGAGGAGATTAGTTAATAAATAAATCAAATAAAACATAAAAATGAATGTAAATTGAGGCTACAACCAAAACATCAGGAGAATTCCTCAATAAGAACTTAAATGCAGCCTCCACCCAAATGTGCCCCTCCCACACTTACCTTACGCCCTGCACTTGTTAGACATAACCACGGCCTGTGTTATCGGCTGCTGTTGATGCGGTTGTTGTTGTTAGGATTACAATAAAGAGTTTTACGGCCCTCCTGGCTGCTGCTTATTGTTGTTTTTATGACAGCTAAGCTATTTTGCGTATGACATGTTTGACAGAAGCCAACAGCCTCGCAGTCGTCGCCGTCGTCGCCGGCGTCGTCACTGTGGCTGTCAACGCCGCTTTTAAATGCAGCCTCTGCCAGCGCCCTCTGCTCTCCGTCTCTCTATCACTCTCTCTCTATATCTCTCTCTCTATCGCACATAACTAGCTATCACGCTCGGCCACTTTATATTGTTGCCCAGAAAGTTTGTTTGGGTTTGCTGGCGCTTTAATTTTTGCGTCTATTAGCAACAGCCACACACATACACACACGCATTCGCACTTATGCCTTGCCACAACTGTTGTTGAGTCCGAAGCAGTAAAATAGGGGGCTGGGAGGTTCCGTTTGCAGCTACTTTTACGCATGTTTTCGCACAGCGCCAAAGATGTCGGCTTGACATAAATTGTGTCTGCCAAATGTGGCAAACTACGAAAAAAAGCTAAACCAAAACTGGGACACGCCCTAAAAAAAAGGCATAAGAAACCAACAGTTGCCTGGCTTGTCGCATGTAATTGCTCGCCACAATGTAAATGACAAAAGCATGCACAGTGGGCCCTCCTTGTTAATGTTGTGTTTTCTTTTCTAATAACTTTTTTATACCCTGAACCCATTGAAAATGAGAAATCAGGGTATAATGGTT